TACTTTCCGACTGGGGGGGCACACCATAATAGAGATTAACCTAGGGTACCCCCAAATCTAGTTTTCTCACCGGTTTTAGGCCACTTATTTTTCACCCCTCGGCTTTTTCAACAAAAAAGAAAACATTTGCAAAAAAAGTGTGGTATTTCGTCTCAAAGCTGTGGGGGCACCGCCCCCACGGCCCCAGAGTTGGGGGGGCAAGCTGCCCCCACTGCCCCCCCGGCTCCCGCGCCTATGCTTCGAGCCTGCAATAGACACTAAACGTCATCGTAAGGGCCCTTAAAAGACGTCGTAAGGGGCTTCAGAGGTCATCGTTAGGGCCATCATAGTTCAGCGCGGCCAAACAAGCCTCCGTGGTGGCGTTCGGAGACCGCTGTGGGGCCCTTATAGGTCTTCATGATGCTTGAGGGCCCTCGAACCCATCGTGGGGACCTCAGATGCCAGCGCGGCCCATGGAGCCAACGTGGGAGCCCTCAAATGATGTCGTGAGGGGCCTTGGACCCAATAATGGGTCCCACAGAGGCCGTCGTGAGGGCTCTCAGAGTCAGATGCCGCCCAAAAAGTCGCTGTGTGGGCCGAGAGACCGGCATGGGGAGCACCCGACCGTACTGGACTCTCAATAGTCCCAGATCGGCTTTTGTCTCTCATCACAAGTATGTAATAAATGATTTGACGGGTTCCTTGAAGGCCAGCCTACGGATTTAGGGGGCGTCTTTCCCCATCAGGGCAGGGGGCATGTTACCCCAAGGTACCGAATTTACATTAAATCAGTACAATTTGTTAGCCATAAAACCAGTATAGCGCCTTTTGGGGCGACTAACGGAGCGAGCGAGGGGGTGAGTCTTGCACGTGCGAAATTTTGAGGGGTACCTCCAACTGACTTGTGCACGGCACCCTACTGACCGGTTTCTAGCGATGTGCCAAATTTGAGCACAATCGGCCCAGCCGTTCTCGAGATCTGGGAGCGGCACCCTGCACGTGCGCACGTGCAAAATGGGTCCCAACTGACTTGTGCACGGCACCCTACTAACTGGTCCCTAACCGTGTACCAAATTTGAGCGCCATCGGTCCAGTCGTTCTCGAGATCTGGAAACGACCCCTGCACGTGCGCACGTGCAGCAGCACCCCAACTCTGGCACATGGATATGCATTGCCCAGTGGGTGCCTACCTATAGGTATGCTAACTTTCAGCGCAATCGGCCAAGTAGTTGCCGAGATATTGCAACAATTACAAAACTGACACCTCTTCGTTTTGCACGTGGCACGTGCATACGGGGTCACCCACATGCATCGGGAATAGTCCAATACTTGGTAGAAGGAATGAAGCTACCCTACAAAAATTACCGCGTGTAAATCGGTCAAGTGGTTGCTGAGATATAAGCCTCGCAAAAGCGTCCGCACGGCCGGCCGGCCGCTCATACTCAGAAATTTCCGTTATTCTACGTAAGACTCCGCTCGCTTCGCTCGCTCCGTAATAAAAAACAACAATATATTCAAATACACAATTAAAAAACAGAGCTTTCGGTAACAAATACCTTACATATTTGTAAGGTATACAAATACCTTACATATTTGATCATACACACAGTGATCAAGGTATTTGTTACCGAAAGCTCTGTTTTTTAATTGTGTATTTGAATATATTGTCGTTTTTTATATATATTTCCGTTAATCTAAGGAAAGACTACGCTCGCTTCGCTCGCTCCGTAACTACACCCTGAAACAAACTGTTTGGGACACAGTACACGCATATTAATGTATCCGCGACCATAGCAAGGGACATAAAAAATATTTACCTTCTTTGATATTTACAATGTTTTAACACCAAAATATTTTTTGAAAGAAGCAAATAAAAAACATGCAATCACCAGCCAGCCGTTGCCCAACTGAGCTTCGCAAATTTTTGTGCAGTTAACAAGGCAGTCTTCCACTTAACGGTAAGAACATTATTTTCCAGGTTCGATTCTTTGTTTCGCCGCTAGAGGGAGTGGTGCGTCTTTCCCACCCTGGGAATCTTATCCCACTCTCCCCTACCTTTCCACAGCCAGTACGCACTCAATTTATTACGAGCGAGCGAGCGCAGCGAGCGAAGTGACTAGTGAGTCTTTTCAATATAACGGAAAAATCTCAGTATGAGCGGCCCGGCCCGGCCCGGCCCGGCCTGTAACGCTTTTGAGAGGCTTATATCTCAGCAACCGCTGGACCGATTGGCATGCGGTCTTTTTTGCTGGGTAGCCCCATCCCTTCTACCCCGTAATTGACTACTTTTGATACACCTCAGTGAACGTCGTGGCACGTGCCACGTGAAAAGTCAAGGGTGTTCAAGCTGTTTTGCAAAAGTAGTGATTTTGAGAGGCTCATATCTCAGCAGCCGCTTGGGCGATTGACTTGCGGTAATTTTTGTAGGGTAGCAGCATCCCTTCTACCCAAAATAGGATACTTTCGATGCATGTGGGTCACCCCCAGTGCACGTGCAAAATACAACAATAAGAGGTGCCAAATTTGTTCCCATTTCAGTAACTCGGTAATTACTGGGGCGATTTCGCTGAAACTTGGCATACAGGTAGGCACCCACCAGGCAATGCATTCCCAAGTGTTGCGGTTAGGGTGCTACTGCACGTGCGCACGTGCAGGGGGCGTTTCCAGATCTCGAGAACGGCTGGGCCGATTGCGCTCAAATTTGGTACACGGTTGGGACCAGTTAGTAGGGTGCCGTGCAAAGTCATTTTGGACCCCGTTTGCACTTGCGCACGTGCAGAATGCCGCTTCCAGATCTCAGGAACGGCTGGGCCGATGGCGTTCAAATTTGGCACACCGCCAGCGACCAGTAAGAACAACTTTGCGCAAGCCCGTTGGAAGTACCCTCTCGCCCTTCCGCACGTGCAGGGCTCACTATCTCGCTCGCTCGTTCTTCGCCCAAAAGGCGTTTTACTGGTTTCACTCGTTTTATATATCATTCGACGCACCAAGGTGCGAGGAATGCGATCGTGATAATTTTTTTCTAGCTATGACATGTTTTTTTAACGACTTCGGTAGAACCAGAAACTGACCTTTCGTAGGTATTAGCAGGACAACGGTTGTTAATGTGGAGTGCACAGAAAGTGCGGTAGCCGACCCCTCTGACAAGCCCCCTTGCAGACGTGCATGATCCTCACCCAGAAAAAAGTTGAAAACGCTCTTATAATCGGAGTTCTTACGTGAAATGCAAAGGGATTATTTATGACAGCCACCAATTTTAGTGTATAAAGTAGGCATTCGGCGGAGAGGAAAAGTTGGAAGTGCGAATCGGAGGTTGTTCATCTTAAAAGGTGCAAGGTGCTTTTGCTCGGAACATAGCGAGCATAAATATGCGAAGAATCCTTGACCTTTTCCACAAACAAATAAAATCAAAACCAAACGTTATATTAAATACGCTGAGCTGAGGTTGGACGAAGCTGTCAGAGGCGGTTGACACCTACTACGAATACCCGGCAGGACCCATACTGGTTGACCTGACCTGACCTGACCTGACCCGACCTGGCCTAAATGCATTAAGAATCAGCTGTGATCAAAACTAACATGATATTCGTGATCAGCACCCCCAAAAACCCCGGGAAAGATCCTGAACGGGCCCGAAGTTCCCGCGTCACGCTTTGAATGAAAGTTTTGTGTCAGCATACACAACTAGTGAAGATCGGCTGAGAAACTGAATAAAGAACCAACTATAGGAACATGGATTGAATCAAAACGTTTAAATCTTGGGTCTGGAGTAGGAGTCTTAAAGATTTTGACCACTCCGACTCAGATTCTGGTAAGAACTGCAAGCTCCGAGCGGATCCGACTTCATAGGCATTCTTAGGAAAGAACCCCTTATTTTTGCTGGATCCCCAAATATCATCGGATCTGTATCGATCTCAGGGGGTGCCTGGTCGGAGGCTGAAGGGGGGGGGAGGGGCAATCTGCCCCACTTGCCCCTCCCCGTGGGGACGCTAATTGCATAGATCCGTTCCGAGTGATAGATCTGTGACTTCAGTCAGAGGATGTTGAAGCCAATTGAAAGCTGGGATCTATGAATTACGACCCTAATGGATATTGCTTGGAGAATGAATTCCGAATCGATAACAGATCTGTCCGAATCGATCCCCTATCAACGGACAACTTATGAAACCATAATCCCAGGTGGTTCCATGTAAATAACTGGTACCTACTGCCGTAAAACTGTGTGAATTGTGAGACATAATGGGATAAGAGCCCTAAAAAGGAATATTTGCGAGTTGCAACGAATTGCTTCCAGACAAAAATGTAAGAAATGTGTGACAAAAAAAAATGCTTAGGTTTATGATGCAATGGATCTCTGGATAAAATGAAGGGGTTGGATGCATGATTCAATTGGATCTGAGCTCGAAATCCGTGGGATCAGATCAGACCCAAGATCAATTTTCTCAGATCCATGAACATTGCATAAGCACATGTCTAATTTAATTGTAGGTATCTGAAGATTTTTGGTGAATGTCACTCTGAGGAGACACAGTTTTCCCACATTTAACTATTTTTGAACAGGGTTTAATCGTTAACTGGCTGGCTTTAGAAGTGCGTTAGGTAAGTAACTGGTAGGGGCTGCGGCTGCTCTCATCGTCAACTGATTCAGCCATTTATTTCTGAAATTCTAAGTGTTCCGGCCATCACTGGTAGGCATCATTAGCCTTTAGGTATTTATTACATTCTAGCTCGGCTGATGATGCTTCGAAAAACTGGGCAAATATACATTTCGTTGCATCTTTTCTATTGAATTGCGCTGAAAGGACAACCACTCTATAATTTCAAAGCATACTTATTATGATAAGGGTAGTCGTCCAATCAACCATTAATCACAAGAACTAGAGCTAATACAAACATAATAAACATGACGTTTTAAAGGAAAAAATAAAAATCATAGGAACGGCAATGATTAACACAACCGGGGACCTTGAAATGTCACTATTCCAGCTCATGTGAGGCCCATGTCAATGTAGAAAACTCACCTGAGTTAACCAAACGTTTGGACCGTGAGGCTAAAATCCCGTGACCAATTCCGATCCGTGCTTGGTCTAAGTTTTCACAGTATTACAGTTTTCACCTCCGTCCCTCACAGTATCACAGTTGTCACCTACTATCCATTCCTCAACCTGTCGCAGTTTCCGCCTCCGGTCCCCACAATCACAGCTTTCACCTGCGGTCCTGACAGTTTCTACAGGTCCTCACAGATTTCACCGCCGGTCCTCACAGATTATTTAGGTCCTCACAGATTCTACCTCCGGTCCTCACAGATTCTACCTCCGGTCCTCACAGATTCTACCTCCGGTCCTCACAGATTCTACCTCCGGTCCTCACAGATTCTACCTCCGGTCCTCACAGGTTCCACCGACGGTCCTCACAGATTCTACCTCCGGTGCTCACGATTTTCACCGCCGGTCCTCACAGCATCACAAGTTCCGGCTTTTGCCCTCACAGCGTCACGGTTTCCAACTCCTGTTTCCACAGTGTCACGATTTCCTCCTATCACATTTCCACCTGCGGCCACCAGCTGTCGACAGACACCCTCATCCGGTCCGTCCGTCTGACGTCCTCGCGTCTCGTACACACCCTCCGCCGGCGCCGTCGGCCGTCAGACTGGGCTCCAGCGCCGTCAGACAGCGGCTCCGGCGCCACCGCCCGCCGCCCGCCCGCCTCGGCCCGGCCCGGCCCGGCGCGGCGCCGAGCGATACCCGCACACACTATACATTACAGGCATCGTGTCACCGCGCCGTCCTGCGCGCATGGATCGGCCGGTGACACTTTCAGAGACCAGCAATAGCCGTTTTCACAACGGCCGTCTGGTACACATTTGGTGCAGATTAGGTGCAGATTAGGTGCAGATTTGGTCAAATTAGGTTCAGTGTGTTTCTTGAAAGTTATCAGTTTGGGCTGCACAGTTGATAATATGCCTCATTTTTTTAACTATCAGACATTATTTTCTATTAAAACACTGAAATAAATTCATAATACGAAGATATTCATTGTAAAAGAGATTTGGTGCAGATCTAGCCAAATTGGGTGCATTCGCCAGAAAGCCCCTTGTGAAAACGGCTATTGACACCTTTAGATGAGCTTAAGGACCATGGACCATGCATTATATCTGTACTAGTAGATAGATACCATTAAAATAAGTTTAAGTATATATTGGTCCATCGGACAGCATGACTACATTTTCAGAAAGTCGTAAGTCCTAAAGCCTCGCCTTTGGGTGTCTCGCCGCCCTGAACTGTGTCCTACGGGGTAACGGCAAACTTGTTTACGGTATTTAGCGTTCAGTATTTAGTCCTTCACTATTGCCATTCGATAACTTGCCTATTGATGAGCTGTTAGTTACATTGGAATTATGTTAGGCACGGGATGTTTAACGATTTTTTAACCCTCGCCGGCACAGGGGGGGGGGGGGGTTGATGCAACCCCCCTAAGGTTTTTCGCGAATAACTCGCGTAAAAAGCGGCCGATCGCGACGAAACTTTCAGTAACCTCGTATTGATCAATTTTACACCTACCCTAAAAATTTCATGAGCCTGACCCAAATGACCTTTGACCTGTGACCTCTTTTCCGAGACCATGTTTGGCCGGAATCGCGATTCGGCGTATGTCGGCTCGCATTAGCCGCGCGTTTGCAAGCTTTTCGTGGTTTCAAACGTTCAAACATGTGATTTGATGTTGCTCTCATACATTAGGGTGTGTGTCAAGGTCACCTGAAGGTCAGGTCAGGTCATTGACCTTTGGTGACCTCGGGTGACCTCGGTTCACTTATTCGAGTTTTACATGTTTCTAGGCTAGTTTTTGGAGCTGAATTCGAATTTAGCAACCATTTGAATATTAACGAAGTAGTTTTGGTGGCTTCGTAACATGTTACGAAGCTGTCAGAGGCGGTTGACACGTATTACGAATACCCGTCACAACCCCTACCGGTTGACCTGACCTGACCTGACCCGACCTGGTCTAAATGCTTCAAGACATCATCTCTGATCAAAACTAACATGATATTCGTGATCAGCACCCCGGAAACCCACATACCAGCCACACTTTACGACTTTCCGACAGGTCCCAATTTTCCCGGTTTTCGGGCCATTGACCTGACCTGGAAGGTCACCCGATGACCTAGGACCTTAAAATTGGGTATCATCGGCTTCCTTTCGTGACGGGCAACACGCTCGTTTTTTTCCGCGAAGCTCTAGCTCAATCAGGGGCCAAACGCGAGGAGGGTCGTACCAACCCCCCCCCCCCCCCCCTTGTGCCGTCGAAGGACGCAAAATGGCCTGTGCCGGCGAGGGTTAATGGAGCCATTTGAATATAGTCGTGGGTCAATATTCCGCGATTCCATTTTTACGGTTTCAACTCTTAGCGTGATTAATGATTCGATATTTTACAACCTCGAAAAGTTGCGTGCGACGATTTGTAATTCGATAAGAGCTACACGTTCCGATCTTTCTCTGAAAGCTATCACTTAGAATACACTGCTATCCGTTGCATTACTTTCTGTAAAAAGTCGTTTTAAAAGGCTGGCCCCACGAAGTACAGCCCATGCCCTAAACCGCTTAACCTGCTTGAGAGTGTTTGTAACCACTGCACCGGTGGCGTAGCGTGACGGCCGGGAAAATTGGACGGAAAATTGGACGACCCTCACTGCAGGCGGTAACGTACGAGCAAGGACAAAATGGGGGTTTGCGGCCTTGATGGTGACGTGAATCTTGTTTTGCGGCGGCATAACACCCATGCGCTTTTCCATGGCCGGCCTGCACGGCCTCACAAGCATTTCACTACCAACTGTTTGCATCCAACATATAACAGCGTACCGATTGCACCATAAAACTAAATATGAGGTTGCAAGATGTAAAATTAGCAAGCTACAAAACAAGGTATACCTAGGCATTTCGTTAGTCATCAGACCCTCTTCAGCTGCCGGGCTGCGCTGCCGTAGCTGCACCTAATCTTACACCAAGTGACGGCCACTAACCGTTCTGCAGGCATAAACGGAACAAACTAACACCACACAGGTGCCCAGAGCGAGTTCCGAGCTGCCTCGGCGAAGTTCCTCTGATACCTGCCCGCCTTGAGACAGACCGCCCCGACCTGCGACAGCCCCTGCAAAGAAAAGGGCCGCCCCGCCCCGAGACGGGCACTGCCCAGAGCCCTGAGACGGGCACCACCCCGAGATGGCCACCACCCCGAGACGGGCACTACCCCCGCCCTGAGATGAGCCACCCCGCCCAGAGACGGGCACCGCCCCTGCTCAGAAAACGGCCGCCCCCGCCCCAGGACGGGCACCGCCCCGCCCCGCCCTGAGAGACGGACGGCCCCCGCCGCCCCGAGACGGGCACCACCCCGAGACGGGCACCACCCCGAGACGGGCACCGCCCCGCCCTGAGAGACGGACGGCCCCCGCCCCGAGACGGGCACCACCGCCACCCTGAGACGGGCACCGACCCGCCTTGAGACGGGCACCACCGCCGCCCTGAGACGGGCATCACCCCGAGACGGGCACCACACCCGTCCTGAGACGGGCATCACCCCGCCCTGAGAGGCGGACGGCCACCGCCCTGAGACGGGCCGCTCTCACGAAGCGTTCCGCTCGTTTGGTGAGCTGCTATACCGTGCGGTATACCGCGGTAGCCAGCTCCCCACAGTCCAGCTCTGGCCTCTGTTTACCCGGGGCTCACAGCCCCCCGCTGCACGTGTGTACCTATGTATGAACCAGGTGTGTGCAATGAGTACACATAACATATACCTACAGCAGGGCGGGTGCCATCTTAGATATAGACTCAGTGACCGCCACGATCGGTGGCCTGCGAGCTCAGCTGCTAACCACACGGGTTTCGTCAGCTGAGGAAAACTGGCACGGGTAAACAGGCATGGCTGCAAATCTATTTACCAACGGCGGCACCAACATTCAGCCAAGCACTCGGTACATTTTACCTTATCTCGTTGAGCTTTCCCTTACAATCCTATGAGTTTAATCTCAGTGGCATCTTCACTGTTCTTAACATAACTTTACAGATAAGCTTTAAGAGGTTGCTTATACGCTGATAATGACAGTGAATAATACCTACACATGAGCTCAGAGGGCTGGCAACCAGTAATAACCATAAATCATTGTATGTATTTAATATCCCGCACCAATGACACTGACTGATTCTTAGATCGAAATTAAATTTCGAAACGTTATTTAAGGGATCTCGTCGTCGCATAACCTGATGCTTATGATATTACACCGCAATTTTCAGAGCGGGCGACGATGATTTGTACGTAAATGCACGAGGCTTTGACCAATAGGTTCTTACGTATATGCTCCACACAGCTTTTCAATTTTGGTTTATGCACAATGTACTTTGCTCACTGCAGTGCCAGTGCATATGAATCAGCTAGTGGCTACCAACGACCCCATTTTTCACATTAGTTGACACTTGACAGGGAACTAAGCTCATTTTTCATCACTCAGGCCTGAATCTGACAAACATGAATCGAACAGCCGCTCGGAAGAACCTAGAAATAAATTAACTGTGCCCGATAAGTCGTCACTGTGTGCTGCACCGCCAACTCAGTCATGACTCGATCAGCAAGATTAAAGCCATGGTCGGCGCCGGCGTTGTTCCTAGCTCTGTCTGTCAGTGGGGTTGTTGACCCATGGCCTTTGCGATGGAGCCGCTCGGTTATAGAGCCTAATTAGCCCAAGTCAGACAGTTACCGCGGCGGAGAAAGTTGTCCCGTTTGGTGTGCGTCGTTCCCGCGTCGCTTGGTTCTGAGCTAATGACTGGACAAAGCGCGCAGCACGGGACATATCCACAGAGCTGCGCTAATCACCGCTCGCTTTGGCATTCATTTCCAGGCTTTATTCTTTGTTTCGCCATTAGAGGGGGTGGGGCGTCTTTCCCACCCTGGGCATCCTACCCCACTGTCCCTTACTATGCTATATGTACAGTGGGCTCCGGCGCACCATGGGGACTTTTGCGATCCTAGCACGACATAAGTGACAAATACGAGTATTTTGATTTCCACTTTCTTTATATCCTTTCTACGCAGAATTGTCCAGTCTATCCGAATCCGACCTTAAATCGCTTTAAAAATGATGACTTATAAATCAAAATACGTCACAAAGTGAAGGGATGCGCTGACTAGCACCGTGCTCCTAGGATAAGGCGAAACATTACATGACAACGAAACGCCTGCTCACTCGTTTAATCAAGCACCAATTCTATGTTGCGACATGTTTTTATAATCTGTATTCAATGAGGAATATGAGCATATGCATGAAAAGCTCGAAAAAATAATCTAAAGGTATGATTTTTGAATGAAATACGAAAAATGTTAATATGCCCTTGTCTCGGAGATTTGACTCGGCAAATCATAGCCTTACAAAGTTTGATACGCGGTGGTACGTGAGGAAACACATATCAAAATATTCTCCCATAAATTCTGCATTGGAATGAACTCTTATCTTTTGCCCAGTTCTGCCCAAAAAGCTACTACGAGACATCAAAGCAGAAGATGTCGTGCGGCTCTCAGCGCTCCGCCGCGCTGCCCGGCGCCGCGGCGGTCAGCTAACTGCGGCGTACCGCCGCAGGAGTTACGTGTGGAAACACACATCAAAATATT